CCCCCGTTCCTGTGGGTATTTGTTGCACCTGGCTGCAAGGATGACCATTGCCCACTGCCCACACTAGCTAGTAAAATGGTCCCAACTTTAAAACTTCACTACATATTAGTCCCAGAGGATTTGTAGCAACCTTATGCTGATGCTCTTATGCTTGCAATAATGAGTTGGCCAGAGTGGCCACGTCTGACCATGGGAAATCTCTTTGTCTAGCGTCCCAGAAGGAAGAATGTTCAGAAAAGACACACACATGGACGCGGTGACCAATGGTCACTCGCCATTGTAAGCCTAATGTTGCTATTGAGCCTCTTGGACTGAGTATTGAAGTTTGTAAGTGTCAGGAACGTTATACCAGCTGGTGGGGGTTGCGGTGATGATGATCCTTAACCACCTCCTGTCCGCTGGCCGTAGGTAAACGGCCAGACGGGAACCATATAGGAGCGGGTGGGCATCCTTCCCCTCCCCCCGCTCGTGCGCGGCGCTCAGCGTGCCCACGAGTGGAGAAACTGTCAAAAATGTAAACAGTGAGATGGCTGTTTACATTCAAGCGATTGCTTGTAGTAGCTGCGGTTTTATCTGAGACCCTGCAGAGCCCACCATAGAGAGTCTCCATGGGCTGTGCAGCATCTATGGTGGGCTGTGTGGGTTCTCAGGTGGGCTCTGAAAGATCTCCAGTGGGTCCAGAGTCCAGTGCGTTGATAAGTCCAGAGTCCAATTCATATACTGCTCTGCATTGCTGTATAATGTATTGCTGGGATTTTTAGTCCCCCTACAGCCAGTGCCATTCTGCATTAAAGTGTAAGCTCTTCTGTACAGAAACAAATGTGACTGGCTCAGTGTTCTCTGTACAGCACTGAGGTCAGAGCTATATAAATGTATAAAAATAGCATGAAACTGTGGGGGTGCGGGGTGCATTAGAGTGTAAGCTCCTCTGCTGCAGAGACCGCTGTGTGTGTGTGTGTGGGCCCTTTATTCCTTAGGTCCAGCACTGATGGGGAACTATGTCTGGCCACACAATCTAACAATAGAAGGGTGCCCCTCCAGTCTCCTTTGCCATTCCTTTGGTAAGAGCATTAAAGGAGAAATGAAAAAAAAATTTGCCTTTAATATCACTTTAAGTCTTGCGGTGCCCGAGGTAGCCATACTGCAAGGAATAAATCTTAAAATGCCCAGAGTTCTTCTTTCTTTCTTTGTGGATGCTATAACTGTGTGCATCCTACCCACATATACCTCTCCCTGCCCACTCTGGTTGCTAAGAGCCCTTACACATCTCCTGGGCCGGCTCTTGGCAACCTGGGATGCTCTGGTTGTCGTCCCGCCCAGCTCCTGGCAACCAGTGAAATCAACAGGTGCCATGGGACTGTATGTGACATATGTTTATATTTAATTTAAACTCTAAATAAATAATCACTCAACACTCTTTTAATTTAATTGGCATTAATTGGCCGCGGCATTTTTATTGGATAAATATTAAATCATACTCTAATAACCAATCTTAATAATCAACCAATAACTCTTATACTTCCACCATATTGCCCAGTTTTCGAAACTCGAGCAATATATTAATCAAGGGAATAGTCCCCCTCTCCTGAGGTGACAAACCACATAAAAATACCGCGACTAGGGAGGGAGGGAGGGAAGCTTCAAAACGGGTTTCCAACTGGATGATTTTAAACATCTCGGCACCTCCTTATATAGGGCCTAATCCCAACTGACATCCATTCTCGTGGCGATGTTTTCCCGCCAAAATAACGTCTTTTTCCGCCGAAAAAATCCACCGTTGGATACTCTTAAAGAGGCAGTGCACTAAAATACAAAAACTGGGGGAAAAACACAAAAAATGCATCTAACCTAAAGTCCCTACATTCCCATGAAAATGGGCATCTAAGGGATGCCATTTATACAGGAGCTGGGTGGGACACCGGCCAGAGAGTCCCTGCTTGCTAAGAGCCAGGCGGGGAGATGTGTATGGGAGAGGGGTGGTGAGAGACAAAACGTTAGCTGTCTCCCTGTGCCATACCCTGGATTTGCCACTTTATCCACAATCTAAAGCTAAGCCCAACACACCCATCTTCCCTCTGTGATAGAACCTAAGACAATTCTTTTGTACAGGGGGATGACAGATAGATTCAAGTAAGAGAGTTTAAGTAGTAATGTGAAACAAGGTTCATAAGGATGCACCAAACAGGCTTTTCATGCTTGCTCAGGTAGCTGCAGACATCTTAGAGTGCCCTATTTGCTTTTTTAAAGTTTAAAATGACTAACAGGTTCCCCTTAAAGCAGGATGAGCACAGACACAATGCAATTCTTTCATTACAAATGGATCCCAGGCTCATTTTGCTCAGTCCCACCTGAAGATATACAAGTGCGCGGCTGACGAATTGTGAAATTCTTTGCAGTTGGGATAAATCTATAGGCAGATATTTGGGAGGATCAGAAAATAACCTTCTTCATGGACTTTTTGTTTATCATTGGGCTGCAGATCCTCCAATCATCTCTGAATTGGTGCTGACACTGTCCTTCCTTCTGGAGGAGGGCTACTTGTGTGTGTTGTAAAGTAGTCAACGCGCAAAGCTCACTCCTGTGATGGACTGCAATCTCAATACAAATTAGTAAACAAAACATGAGGTTGTAGTCCATCACAGTAGCGAGCTTGGAATTGTGACTACCAGGGCCGTATTTACACTCTGTGCTGTCCCAAGGCCAAGTTCCTCAATGAAGAAAGGACAGTGTCAGCACCAATTCAGAGATGATTTGAGGATCTACAGCCGAGGGATGCAGAAATAAGATTTTTGTTTGTGTTCATAGTTAAAGGAGAACTATGGGGTTAGGGGTTTTCCCCATAGTTTTCCTTAGGGTAACGGGAGGTCACAAACTAGCGTCCTCCCGTCCCCCTAAGCTCAGTATAGCTGTAGCTCGCGGTATACTGAGACGCCGCAGCTGAAGCGGATTCCGACAATTAGGTCTGGATCCGCCCAGCTGCGTGAGTGACAGCTGGCTCTGCCTATCTAGAGGCAGAGCCAGCAGAGGAAGAAACATAATATACAAGCACTGTAAAAACACATCTACTGTATACATATCATCCGTTGTACATCATACGTCTTCCCTTCTGAACGTCTGTAAATCACCGATAATCAGATTGTATTGGCATTGTCTGCTTTTCCTCTCCACCATTACATGTACCGTATTTTTCCGTGTATAAGACGCTACTTTTTCATAAAAATCTTTATCTAAAAATAGAAGTGCGTCTTATACACGGGGGCCGCGGTTTTGAAAGTGCTGATATCACTGCAAACTAGCCTCACGGACTGCAGAGACAAGATAACAGTTCTCCTCCAGTCATAAATCTTTTTAACCTGACGTCAGCTGTTGCTGGGGAGATCGTGTAAGCAGTGCCCAGAGAGGTAATGTCGGAGCATTCTGTGACCATAAAAATGTCAGAAAGTGAAAAACAACCTGTAAACTCTCTAAACTCATGGTATGGTGTCAAACAAGAGGTGATTGTGAAGTCCTTCAAGAAATGTGGAATCAGCAATGCCATGGACGGAACTGAGGATGATCTTGTATATATAGACAGTGACTCAGCAGACAGCAGTGATGCAGCAGAAGTTGAAGAAACTGATATGTTTGAAGCTAAAAGTGATGAAGAAACCAGTGATGCAACAGAGGCCGAATAAAGTGATTGGCTCAGAGGTAAGTGTGATGCATAATATAATTTAAAATATTGATTTCTGAATTTTGGGTAAGAAAAGTTGGGGGCGTCTTATACATGGGGCGTCTTATAGACGGAAAAATACGGTATTTTATTTTATATTTATATTATTGTTATTTTTATTGTAAGTGAATTATATATTTCTACAGAGAACAAATATCAGCCTTTTTTTAATCATCTATTAATGCAAAACTCTAACCAAATTTACCCTTTAAGCTTTCATTGACCTTTCTGATAACTCTGATTTGGTAAGTCATGGTATATACTTAGGGGTCTATTTATAAAAATATGAATATGTTATTTGTCCAGCGAAACTCCATATACTGTACATTCGTTCTGTGCCAGCTGTTGTGAGAATGGAGCAAAATGTAATGTTATTCGTGTAATTTCTCTTCTGTTCGAATGTTCTTCAAAGGGTTCTTTCACAAAGTGAATGAGGATAATGCAGCATTATGACCACTAGAGGGAGATGCAGATCATATTAATTAAATTCATATTAGTAAAGAGATACAAGGCGGGAATAAGCATATAAATGTAACCATTGCTATCCCCATAGTGCCAGTCCTTACATTTATATGATAATTCGTTCAGTCTAGAACCTTGGTTCTCAACTGGTGAGTCGTGACCCAAAGTGGGTCGCCGCATGCCTTCCACGTTTCTAGGTGAGAGGCTCCTCAGCCTCCACCTAGCGCAGCCCTGTCAGTTCTTGCACCAAGCAGCCATTCATAATATGCTGCCCGGCGCCGAGTGTCTGCTTGAGGGCTGGGGGTATGGTCACGAGGGAGCTCCATCCATACATGCATTGCTTACAGCTCCCTCACGTGTCCTGTAGAGGTGCCTGTACCAGAGTGACGTCACATTCTGGCTTCCGGCACCTCTACAGGTGTGCAAGGGATCTGTACAAGCAATGCACATAAGGATGGAGCTCCGTCACAGCACAGCAGCCCACACTGGACCCCAGGCTAAGGATCCATTCCAGTTCTCATAAGGTGGGGAGACCAGGTGGACCTTTACATTTTATTTTTATAAACATTTTTTGGAGTAGGTATGTGTGTATTAAAATGTCAGTGTTTTTGAGGGCCCGTTCACACTAGTACAGTGCGTTAATCACATAGTACCGTGCGATTAACGCACTGTACCACACAATCTCACCTACTGTGAATTCTGGTGTGGGAGGTATGTTGCACTGCCATTCATTTGAATGGTACCCTAAACGCACCTCCCACTCCCAGTTCATACACCTGCATACCCTAGTGCCGTGTGTTCCATTGGAGTGCGACTTGGGTTGGGACTTAATGAGTGGCCGTCCGAGTTCCCCCGCTTGTGGATACCTCGGGAGCCTGCTGGGGACCTGCAGATAGTTGTCCATGGCAGTGCCTGTCCGGTTCTTTATCTACTCCTCCTCCTTCCCAGCGCAGGCACTGCCATGGACTGCCCTGGGGGCGGAACTACCTCCTCAGAGCTAGAAGCAAGGGTTTGAGCCTCACACTGACGGGGAGGACTGGGCCGGGCGATGAACGAAAGTGGCGGGGCCCAGCAGCGCAGAAAGTCGGACGGACTGGACGTGGGGACCTTCCGAAGATCAGTTCATATATATGGCCAACATTTCACCTTCAGAAGGTCAGTTCATGTATATATTTTCCACCATCCCACCTTCAATGAGTTTACGTATATATTTGCACTCTTCCATTACAGAAGCTCAGACAAAGTTGTTAATGGTTTTTATTTGGAGTTGTAAAGAGTTCTTCCATTAGGCACTCTAGCATTGTTTTTGTTATAACCAGAGTTACCCTT